TATTGAGTCACGTTCTTTTGTTCATCGACAAAAGGAAAATTATTGGCCAAAAATGGAGAAAGGCAATTCCATTACAATTTTGTAAGAATGTGGAAAAATGAACCTATATACTTGAATACAATACAAATAGCCAAAAGATGTTGAATTAAGGAGGTTATATTGGGCATTTGTAATATAGTGAAATATACTTACATGATATGACACAAGGTTACTAATTAGACTATTGTAAACGAGTTCATATGAATGGATAATTATATACGAAGGGTTGTGAGTCACCCACATCATATCTCCATAAGTAAATCCCTCAAGTATACATGGGAGCCAATTGCTCTGTATAAATTCGAAAGGAAAATGTGTTATGAAGTGTAGAAAATCCCTGAAGAATTCAAATTGCTTGAAGTAAGCCCCCGAAGGGTAAGGCATGAAATATGTACTCAATACCAATAAATGGTATAAATTGCCTTAGTGAGTACTATCATTATGATATTGTTGCAACATACTAAAATCCCTTGCAAGAGTCAATGACATTAAATTAGAACTCCTGAAGAGTTGATGATATTAAATTGAGACTCTTGAAGAGTCAAGAAAGAATATAAAGTGTTCAGAGAAATATTGACTCGAGTTGCATATCGAACAATCTACCAACACGAATCTTATCCATGATGTTTATGATATTAAAACAACCATATGGATTGAAGAGAAATATCATTTATCTTCGTGACGGTAAAGATAAATTAATATTTGGTTCAGAAGTACCACATCTTAGTGAAATATATGCTTTATTGTATTTGACACAATACACTGAATGAAATAAAGCTTATCTATTAATATCTTCGAGAAATTACATATATGTGCATACACATGAGTTAAAACAAAATAGGATGGAGCCTTCACAAAGGTTGCTCATGTGAAGCCTCAATACTTGGAAATACCCCAGAAAGAAGAGGCACTGGAGATTGATCATGTGGGGCCCCAGTATTTGGCAAAACACTAGAAGGGGAAGACATCAATTGTATTCGGAACTAGCAACGAACCTCTGGTGATCACTTTAAATCCGACTTTCAGATTCCTGTAGCTGGTTGAGATTTCTTTTCATGCTCGTAGAGTAATTATTTGTAAGCACGTGTAACATTATATTCTCGTGCTCTAGCCCTCTGATCTCTTATTTAAGACTTGCCACCTCAGTCATCAATGATTTAACTTGGCGAGTTTGAGCAAGTAGGCGTTGGCCCATATTGGAAACAGAGCCAACACACTGAACATTGAGAGCTAATGAGTCTTGAATGACCGACTCATTAGATCGTTTTGAAATGATTCTGTTATCCTTTGGAGCGAGAAGATTCCTAACTACCATAGTAGCGGTTATGTTATTCTTCATCATAGAGTCCCCAACCGTAAGAGGACCATTATAAGATAAGAAGGACGGGCGCCATATGTTATCCTGACGCTGCTCGTCTGTATCACTCCTAAGACTCAAATCTAAGCAAATGTTAGATGGACAAGTCATTTTCAAAAATGATGAAGGAAAAATGAGGTCAAATAAAATATCATAAGTGCAAGAAGAGGAAAATTTCTATAGGCAGCAACTTTCTGAGCATACTTTTGAACACGATTGATGTCTATATAAAATAAGAGGCAACAGAGCCACTCGTTTAGAGATCGAAAAAGCACCGCTTTCCGAATTTCAAAAGCCAGTTTTTCCTGAATAAAGTTCATTGACATTTTTCAGATGCAATCTCAGCTTTTTCGGATATCGAGTGCAACTTTGTCAAAGATCTCTGATAAAGTTGAAAACGCGTAAATCTTACTGTTCTAATTACACTACAGTTGCTGACAAGAGTAAAGGCATAACACCACTACGTGCTATTGAAAAATCTCTATATATGTCAACCGCCGTTCTCTATAACAAGGCAGACTTGCAAGAATACCTAACTTTTCCTATCTCCGAGACTGCATCTTCAACAAAACATCTTGAAATACTCAGTTTTTTTCCTCTTCGAGAATACCTCTTCAAAACAAATCACACCAGAGCAAAAGTATCTCATATCATCAGAGTCGAAAGCAAGAGTATCGCATATCATGCTTTATTCTTGTCCTTTCCTTTGTCCTTATTCTTACCTGCAAAGACAATGATAAAAAAAGTAATATGTCGGAACCTCCACTTAAACTCCCGCTGCCACACATGGATGAGTCATCAAGAAGTGATGAACCATTCAAATGCAAGGGTTGCATTCCACTCTTGCATCAGTGGACAAATCCTAGAAGAGAAGATGCCACACATGCATGGGGGAAATCCAGGAAAAATACCATTTATGCAATGAGAACAAGTAAGGCAAGTGAAAATGATATATTGAAGCATATGGAGACAAGCGCAACAAACACGTGCTGATTCATCCCCAACAAAGACGAAGATCACTTTCTACGTGAAGCTCCTCATGGTCAAATTTCATTTAAGATCAAGCCTAAAAGGTCCTTGAAGAAATCACAAGTTTGATTCAAAATCAAGTGTCCACCACCCTTGAATTAAATTTAGCTCCAGATAAAAGGAGCAAATTCAGACATTTAGATGAAGTCTAGCATAAGGCCCTCCAGCCCAGTTCAAGAACAAGCCTGTGGAAAGTTAACAACAAGTAACATACCTCTTTTGGCAACTCTCCTCGCTAAGGGACTAAAGCATAATGATCAATGATTAGCCTAAAGAATTTGAAATCAGGGGAGATTCTCATTAGGGGAGCATCCAAAAACAAATTAAGATTTTAACAAGTTAACTGATGTTGATACGTGGGCATCCAAGGGGGAGTGTTGTAAAACAATGGGTATGTTTGCCCAGATGTATATAGTAAAGGTTCACAAGTTAAATAGTGAAGTTTTTGTTTTCTTTCATAATGTTTGCTCTATAAATAGAGCATTATAGGTGATAAAAGGAAGAAGAGAGGAAGAAGTAAGAAGCCACAAGGCTCATGGTAGAGAGGGAGAAAAGAGAGAGGAGAGTTATCTTTGTAATCTTATTACTTCAGATTATAAATAAAAGCACTGCTACTGTCTCGATGATGTACTCCAGTCACACTGACTGTAGAGGAACCTCATAAATTTTGTGTCTTGTTTATTTATGGGGCTTTTAGATCTAGGTCAAAAAACATATAGTGTTTTTAGGAGTGACTCCAGTTATCTAATTATATGTTTTTATTTCTTTTATACTTCTTTTATATTTTCTAAAAATATTAAAAATCAATTAAAATCTTTTAATATTGTGCATTTTTCAACTCCAAAACATCTAATTAATATCTTATAAACAAAAAAAATTAATATTTAACATAAATATATCTGCAAAACATTCTACCCTAACTCAAGTAGCAAATATATGAATGTATATTATACCTATAAGTGAGATATGAAACCTAACTAAAAGGTAGAAAAAAACATAATATACCTACAAGCAAAACACTTTAATCTGTGACAGGTTGACTATGAAAAAGAATATGTCATATAGGTAGATAAATACAATTAACCTGTGATATAGGTTGATTATAAAAAGGGACACTTTGGATGCAGTCCCTAGTTATCAATATTCTTTGATTGAAACCTTGTTAGTTTTTAGTTTTTGATTGAGGTCTCTGACATTAATGTAATAATGTAAGTTACTATATTTTTTTAATTAAAAATTAAAAATTGAAATTTGTAATTGTTTATATTAATGAGATTTTAAATAAAACACATAATTTATGGGATTAAAAATAATAAAATATAAATTATACTCTCTATTATATTGTGTGTGTGTGTGTGTACATATATGTATGGGTACATTAACCAAAATTAACAAAAAAATTATTGTACCAAAACATGGATACATTCTCAAATCAACGAAAAAGAATGCACCCATATAAGTTTAAACATGGATTAAAAAATTTGAATGGATTTTATATTAAAAAAGGGTATATTTTACATATAACAAATTGATATATTTGAGAATGGGTACATTTAAGATTAAAAAAATTGAAAAATTATATGAATGGGTACATTTAAGATTAAAAAAATTGAGAATCCTTTTATATATATAAAAAAAAACTAATAGGTACAAACTTAATTTAATTTAATTTTTTATTATTTTGGAAATGTTTGAATTGAAAATTAATTAGAAGTTTAATAGAGGTGTGAGTATTAAATCCTAAATTAATTACCAATTTTTATATTAAAAAATTATATAATAAACATGTAAATTCATTATCACATTAATGTTAGGGACTTGAATCAAAATTTGAGAACTAATAAGGTCTTAGTCAATGAACAGTAAAAATTAAAGACCGGATACTAATTTTTCCTTATAAAAATTAAAAAAAAAAATCTATAAATTGGTTAAAGCAGGAGGAAGAACAAGAAATAACAAAAAAAAATAAAAATAATTAGGAAGAAATATGATTTTTACAATAAGTTTTTTCTTTTAAGAGATAATTATTTATAATAAAATAATTAAATTTAAAGAATTCGACTTATTTTAATAAACTGAACTATTCATATTATTGGCTTAAAAAATTGAAGTTATATCAAGTTTTCCTTTTATTTATTCCATTGCACATCGTCGATTTTACAATAAATCCAAAACAAAAATTACAAAAAAAAAAATTGAAGGAATCGAACTTACAGGCATATGCTTTCTCGAGGGTTTCGAGCTGAAATGGGGTCTTCGGGGTGGTTTGGGAGTGAGGTGCTTAAAAAAAAAACACCCATGAAAAAAAGCTGTGAAGGTTTTAAGTGTTTAGTAAACAGAAAAAAAGGCTTATTTTGGAAGCTGCTGTGAGAATAAGCTGAAATCAAAGGAAAAAGCTGAAGTTGCTATTTGCAGCTTGGAAAACTGATTTTTTTTCAAAGCACAAGGAGCTACAGTGCTTCTTTAATGAAAAGATCCACTATCAGACTGCTTTTTTTTCTTTCCAAAAGCACTTTTACAAAAAAGTTTATCAAACACTCTACTGATTTATTTCACAGCCACTTATTCTCACAGCACAACCATTTATTCTCACAGCCCAGCCGCTTATTCTCACAACCGTTTTTTTTTCAAAGCCATCAATACCAAACCAGGCCTTCATCCGGCGCTTGGGCTTGCTCGGCCCCTCACTGGAATTGTCAAATTATATATTCCCTTCGATTCACGCGGAGCAATCTTCCCGTTGAACCCTGCATACACCAATAACACAACAATGAGTGCGTAGTAAACCACCAATCCAAGTATCAAACACGGCAGTGAGCTCAATCCGGTGCCAATTCACCACAAGAATCCACACAAGGGCCCCAATTACCAAAAACACGAAAATCAGAAGCAAAATTTTGTAAGCTAAAGGAAGAACGTCGCTGCAGGTCGAGCTGAGAGTGTAGGCGACGAACCAGTACGCGTTGAAGAAAATTGGGAAAACGATGAAGGGGAGGAAGACATAGACGACTTGCTTGGGTCCATGTCAAATCTTTGATCAGAGAGGACGAGTAAGCAGAGAAAGTGTGTCCGACCCAGTTTGGGAGACGGGTCAAAGTTTCGTTTTTGACGCAGGAGGATGAGTCGGAGTTGTAGGCGGAGGAGATGGCAGAGTAATTTTGGTTGCGGTGGACGACTACAAAGATTCCGATGGCGAAGGTAGCCAGGACGAAGAGGAGGAAGAGGATTAGAAAGAGGTCTTTGAAATGGCGGGGGGCCGTAGCTGTAGGAGATATGGAGGTACTGGTCAGGTCGGAATCGGATACCGGTGGGTCGGTGTAAGATGGACGAGGGGACGGCGGCGGTGCGTGTCTTCGATTGGGGGTTTGGATCATGATTTTTGTTCTGATTTTCTCCTTCCGACGCCTCCTCCATTGAAATCGAGACCAGATCTGGGATTTGCGGGCAGTCGAAAGCGGAGGGGAAGAGAATATTTTTTATTATTTATTAATTATTTTAAATTTTTAATATTAATACATGACGCAACGAGTTCCACGTCATAGACCGTTTTTACAGACAACTTATGAAATTGTTTGAGAATTATGAATTTTATGTAAAAATTTCAAAAATTGTTATTAGTATTTTAAAAATTTTATTTTACATTTTTCATAAGCATATTTATTCATCTTCTAATTATAAAAAATTTAAAATACCAAATAAAATTTTAAAAAAGCTGATAATAATTCTAAAAACCTTAATGTATCAAATATTAAAAACAAAAAACTTCAGCTAATAAATTGAAATTAACTCTTTTTTATATTTGATAGACACATTACTTTTAAGACAACATGAAAGGGCAATTCAGTCATTACAACAAAAAGCTTTGCACGATCTCAGTGGTATTAGGTTGAAAATTTGACAGGATCTGAGGGCTGATTAAGTAAATTCAATCGGGAAAACCATTGTGATATCTGCAACGGCAGCTCAAATCCCACCAACAGTCCAACTCCAACTTCAACACTTTCAGAAACATTCCTAGTCACCTGAGAAGAAAGAGAAAAAATAAAAATAAGAAAAAAGAATTACAACAACCACATTAAAGATAAACTCCCAAAAGGAAAAAGGGTTTGAAGGTATCCCTATCATCTTTCCCTTTCTATATTAATTTATTAAATCTGACATCAGCTGAAAATTATATATTTGCAATTTTTGTTTTGTCTCTGTATTTTTCGTTTGGTAAAATTATAGCTCTTTCTGCACATTCCTTTTTGTATTTATGAACTTCCATGTTCTGTACCAATAATTGATTGCTTTTCTCTTCTGGGTTTGATTTGCTTCAGAGCTGAAACGTAGCAGAAGAAGTTGCCATTTGCGAATCTGGCATTATTATTCAGTGTTTGGGTGAGATTTTGCTTTTCAGCAGCATGTCTCAGACCAACTGGGAAGCTGATAAAATGTAAGTTTTGGGCTGTAAATTGTAAAGTTCTTCATTTTCTGCCCTAGTTCCCTATCTGGGTTTCTGTCTTTTTCTATTTTACTGGCCTCGTTGTTTTCTGGGTCGATTCAGGTTCTGGGTTTCTGGGATTTTCTGGGGTTTGTTAGTTTTTGCAGAGCTTGGATTAAAGTTGGGTTCTTTATCCTGTTTTCTTTTGTTTTGTATGTTAATTTCAATTAGTGTGTGGATTCTAGGGTTTGTTTGTTATAACGGGTATGAATTTGGGCCATCTTTTACTTCACTTTTTACAGCAGAAATTGGGTTTCTGGACTGAGCCTTGTCTATTACATCACTTAGCTCTCTATAATTTCTGTTATTCTTAGTAATATTTGGGTTTTTGTTAACCAAAATATAGTCTTTCACTGTTTTTCTCTGTGAAGTTTCGATTTTTCTCCTTCGACTCGTGTGACTGATAATGTTTGTGATTAACAGGCTGGATGTGTATATCCATGATTATTTAGTGAAGAGGGATTTAAAAGCTTCTGCACAAGCTTTCCAAGCTGAAGGAAAAGTATCCTCAGATCCGGTTGGTAAGCACACAAATTTTGACCTAAGGGGCACAAAAACCTTGTAATGGAAATTATATTTCTTACTACTTTTTAAATGAGTTTTTTTTTTCTTTTGCTGAACTTGCATTTTGATTTTTCTTTTGGCTATAAGTTCCGTTCTCGTTTTTTTATTAATGTTTTTGAGAAATGGGTTTACAGCTATTGACCAGGAGGTTTCCTGTTTGAATGGTGGTCGGTTTTCTGGGATATATTCATTGCTAGGACTAATGAGAAGCATTCAGAGGTTGCGGCATCGTACATTGAGGTTTGAGATTGCTTTATTATGTATTAACTTGGTATATACTGTAGGCCATATATCATTTGAAATGAGAGTTTTAAGAGAGAAGAAATGGGTGTGTTTTGTGTAGCTGATAGTTCCCAGCCTTAAATAGAATAGTTAATGTTGAGCTTGTTTCATGCTTTATGTTTTCTTCACAAGCCAATTTGATGGAATGCACTTCTACTCTCATGTCAGGGGAGTCTCATTCTTATTTTTTTTTCACAGAACTAAATGGAGATCCTATGCTGGAGTAGATTTTGAGTTTTTTATTCTTGCTTGTTCTATCTCTAGTTTATATGTGAATTGTTATATCCTCAGTTACATCATTCTCCAAATCTGCTGCAGTCAATCCCTTACATGTTTTACTCTGACTCTTCTTTTGATAAAAGTTTACTCCGATTCTTGTGACCATTGTTTATATAATAACATTCAGTTTTCTCCCTGGATTTCTGATCTATGTCGTTTTCCTTTATAGTTTGAATCACTGAAAAAGTTGTATTGACTTATTTGCTTCTGATTTTCCATATGCTTTATGTTCTTTCATATATTCATGAAGACATCTTATTCCTTTGTTATAATTTTGGCAAACAATTATTAGAACTCAAAGGTTCTAGGTATGCTACAATGTACAAGTATTCAGCCCATCACCAAACTTTATGTTAACATTTTGTTTGATGGTCGTAAGGCTTAAACCCCTGATGGTTGTATGTGAGCTGAAAATATGCTGGCCTGTACAATTTCAGATGAGTGTTAGAGCTTTTGATTGTTTTGCATTCTTGAGTAACAAGTACTTTGTATCTTTGAACCACTTTTTCAAATTTCTAATTGCGTTATGGGTTGTTTTGTTGAGCTTATAATTACAGTATTGGCCTGGAGAAGGGTGCTTTTTCTTTTTGTTTTGGTGCGTTTTCACTGAACCTCATGTGTAGGCCAAGGTGAATATCTGTTGGTCTTCAACACTAATGACATGACATCGGTAGAGCCTCTTAATTTGACTGTAATGCCTAAGTTGGATGAATACACTCAACCTCATGCTTGATAGTAACTAATAAGCACGATCTTTTTCAGCGGAGGCATCAAATAGTCGTGAGGAATACTGTTTGTTTGTCTACTATAGCTACGTGTATATTTCTACAAAAGTTACTTATAGTGAATTAGCCATATTAATTTGATGTCTTTGTGGTTCCTGTGATATGGACCGATAATCACAAGCTTTACAAGGGTATTTCTTATAGTTCTTATAAACAAGGTAGTGCCTTTTGGAAGCTCATGACATGTTCAAACTGCAGACTCAGTTGATTAAAGCAAGGGAGCAGCAACAGCAGCAGCAGCAACAACAACAACAACAACAACAGCAACATTCCCAGCAACCGCAAAACTCACAACAACAGCAGCAGCAGCTGCAAATGCAGCAACTCATGTTGCAAAGGCATGTTCAGCAGCAGCAGCAGCAACAACAACAACAACAGCAGCAGCAGCAGCAGCAACAGCAGCAACCACAGCAGCAACAGCAACCGCCACAGTCGCATCAGAGAAGAGATGGGGCACATCTCCACAATGGACCTACAAATGGGCTTGTTGGAAATGATCCTCTCATGCGACAAAATCCTGGAACAGCAAATGCCATGGCTTCAAAGATGTATGAGGAAAGATTAAAACTTCCTCTTCAGAGAGATTCTATGGATGATGCATCTATGAAAGTAGGTGAATTATCCTAATTATTTTGAATAGAATGACCTTAACAGTTTTCTGACCATATTAGGAACAATCTGCAGCAGAGATTTGGTGATAATGTGGGCCAGATTTTGGATCAAAATCATGCTTCAATATTGAAGTCAGCCGCAGCAACCGGCCAGCCTTCAGGGTGCGTTTCTCTAAGACTATATTTTTCAACTATTCTTATTTGCTTGTTTAGCCTCTGGATACATTGAGAAATGATGTGGACTTGTTTATGCTAAGCAATTTTTCTTCTATTTACTAAATGCACAGAAATTTAGGGCTAGCAGAAAACAGTTTCATATTGATGATAGGAAAATTGGGATTGCTCTGATATTGTATTTTTAGGATTTAGAGTAAAGTGCGACCCCGGTCGCCCTGCATATATCTCGGAAAACTGTAAAATGTTAGTTCGTATGCTGTGCCCGCATAACTACTCATTCATTCAGGGTTTTGGATGTGGAAGCTGTTACTTAATCCTGTTATCAACATTATATATAAAACAGTGAGCTCGTTTTTGCAGGCAAGTTTTGCACGGTACAGCTGGTGGGATGACTCAACAAGTCCAAGCTCGAAATCAGCAATTGCCAGGGTCTACACCGGTATGCTTAGTTTTATGTGGAATTCCATTACATGTCTTTTGAATCATGTTTATCTGTTCTGACTTGTATATGGAATCAGGACATAAAGACTGAAATCAATCCAGTATTGAATCCCAGAGCTGCATGTCCTGAGGGATCATTGATAGGAATTCCTGGTATTCTTGTTTTGTCTGTTTCAATGTTTGATTGACCATGTCTCACTCTTTTGAAATATTGTTTGCATATTGGTCTGCTTCTATTTTTATATTGGAAGCCTGCTATTCCAAATTAATTGTGAGTTAGTAACTTAGTAATTATAGAGTTAAATTTTTTTGTAAGTTTTGATGGTATTTTATAATGATGCTTGTACCTTACATGTAAGATTCTTTGATTTCAGGATCAAATCAGGGTGGAAACAACTTGACTTTAAAAGGATGGCCGCTCACTGTAAGTTTTTGATGGCTGGATACTTTTTTTGCTTCTTAGCCTTTGTTAGAGAATTCTAATGTCTATCTGGACCATTTCTTTTCTTGAGTTTCTGATCTTGTATTAAAACAATGGTAGTAGTTGTGCTAAATGAATCAGAATTACATTGTTTCTGAATTTGGAAACTCTATTAGTTTGTTTGTTGTCCGTCTCTGAAGTTTAGAATCTCAAAGTGACCAATGTTCGTTTAAAATTAAAATCTCTATCATTTGTTTCATTGCATTTCTGAAGATTGGAGTATCACTCATCAATACTCTACAACTGTTTTTCTCCTTGTTAGGGTTTGGAGCAGCTTCGCTCTGGACTTCTTCAGCAACAGAAACCTTTCATACAAGCTCCCCAGCCCTTTCATCAGCTTCAGATGTTGACACCACAACACCAGCAACTTATGCTTGCTCAGCA